TCCTCTTACTTCAGCGCTGTTTTCAGTCTTGTTTCTGCTGATGCTGCTAAAATGGTTAGATTCTGGGTTCTGCTTTCACCCAGGCTGGTAACCCTCCCACTTTGCAACAAGGACGTGATTGAAATTCCAAGTCAATGCACCAGGAAAGAACTCGGCTCCCCTTTCTGGAACAAAAAGACACAGAGGACATCCTCCTCACAGTCAGGGACACAGCATCAGCAAGGACAGGCTCTGCAGCAGGGCTGCAAACACCTAGAGTGTAGTCTCCTGGGCTTCAACACAGAGTCAGAGCTCCCATACCAACCCTGTGCTGAAAAATAACACTAGCTATACTGATGAAATAGGAACTGGTAAGGTTTGATTTGCATGGAGCAGGAATAACACAGGCAATCCATGAGAAGGGCAGCCAGGTAAGCCAAATGACTGCAAATACATTCTGTAATTCTTCAGCCCAACTTGGAAGTGGTGGCACAAAGAGCAGGAGCTCAAAGCATGTTGTGGGTTTGCCTTCTAAACCCTGGAGGAGGAAGGCAGGGCAAAAAAAGAGCACCAGATAACACAAGGAAATTAATCTCACTCATGGATGCCAAGGCTCAGGCCACCACTCCAGGAAACACAGCACAAGATTTTATCTGATGCAACTCAAGTTGTTCTAAATAGCAGCCTATTTTGGGTACAAGTAAGAAATGGATCCATTTTCAATTCCTCACTGTAAACTTCCTGAAAATCCAGAAAAAGGACAGGATTGCCACTCTGTTTGGCAACCCCCAGATGGACCCATTTTGGAAAATTACAACATTTCAATTAGGAAACAAGCAAAGCAGCTTCCTCAGCTATGCTGCATTTTCTCCCTGCAATAAGGCCTCCCAGATCAACTACCAGGGAAATGTCTTTACAACTTGCTCAACCAGCATCTACCAGCCATCAACCAACCTCGTGCCCCAGCAAGGAAATTTCAAAAGGAAACATTTCATCTACCACCAGGGCAAGAGCTCAGGCTTCCCAGGACAACCCATTGGCAAGCATCTCCCCCATCCTTGCTTTAGGACATGAGGCCACTTGATCAGCTCCAGGTGACAGGAACTGAAGACAATTCAGCTCAAATAAAGCCACAACAGCTTCATGTGAATTGAATTCCAAGTGCGTTATGAGTTCCACTTTCAGTTCTTAGAGATCCACTTGCAATATTTGGGCAATTCCCACATTAATGCCAACATGAGCACATTGTTCACAGACTGTTAAGTATTCAAGAAGGTATTATACAAATGAAGAAGAAAAAAATCAATTTATGCTCCATCTCCAAGTGGCTGCATTTCCAATGGACTGTCCTGAATCCTTGATCTTTATGTTCAAGTTAGAGAAGGCTTTAATTGACACAACCTATCAGGAAACAAGAGCCCAGCTAGAGAGAGTAGAAAGCTTGAGTCATTCAGATACATTAACTGCTTCTTCACACCACACAGGTTGCACCCAAAAATGAAACTGAAATTAGAAGTTATCTGATTTTAAGTTATTTATTTTTCACCCTTGTTCCTGTAAATGGCAAAAGATTAGAAGGAATGAAAGCAAACACCTGCTTTTGACCTTGTGCATTAAGGGGAGAGTCAAAGATTCGGTTGAGGCAATTTAAACCCTTCAGGACCCCCAGCATAAATCCATGGGGAAATGGGAAACTATCCTGCACAGTGACTGAATAAGACAGTGAATAAAAACAGAAGATCAACATCACTTTGGGCATCTTACACTTCTGAAATCATGTCCTTTGTCTGGAAAAAAGAAAGTCCTTAAACATCACATTGTATTAAAGTGGGGTCAAAACCAGAGCTTAGCACAGATCTAAAGCCCTGCTTGTGCTGCCTGCACAGGCACCTTTCAGAATTTCATGCTTCTCCAGAAAAATTGCTTTCTTCAGCAGGCACTGAAATACACTTTTATTTCAGCTTGAGGTGCAACAACTACCACGTGTATCAGCTCAGAGGGAAACACCCCAACAAAACAAAACACCTCTCCACAAGTTCACCTTACCAGAGTCGTTTGGGCTGGACCAAACATCCTTCCAAAGGGCAGGCAGGAGAATAAACACTGGCACCGCCCATCCCAGCCTGCAGGAGCAACCACCTTCCCAAAGCCACACTGGAAGTGTGGCACCATGGAGTGTTGCAAGACACCCCTAAGTTAATCAGCTGTCCTCTCCACATCAAAGCCAACTGGTGGTAGAGCAGAGCTGACATTCATATCACAGAAGCCCAGACTGGTTTGGGTTGGAAGGGACCTTAAAGATCATCCAGATCCAACCCCCTGCATGGGCAGGGACACCTCTCACCATACCAGGTTGCTCCAAGCTCTTCAACCTGCCCTTCAACACTGCCAGGGATGGGGCTTCCCTTGGGCAACTTGGGCCAGTGTCTTAGCAATGTCCCTTTCCCAAAGAGAGTCATTTCTCTCCTCAAAGTTACAGTACCAAGGACTAAAAATAGCCATTCAGAAGAGCTGAACTGCACTTTCATTTTGTTTTACTCCCAGATGTCAACTAGTAAGAGACCAGCACATATACTTACCATATGAGGAAATCCTGTTTAAACAACCTCAGCTGCAGAATGTTTTTCCTTCCCTAATAAGCCACAAGATGAAGCACCACTGCAATGGCAGCATTCCCTATCCCAACAATACCCTCTCAATTTGAGGATTTTGGGAATTTGCCTTTTAAGATAACATTTAACTAAGCTCAAATGCTTGGCTAATAAAACATGGCCTCTACAGAAGAGCTGAAGCCAGTGTGTTCCTCAGCAGGCACAAGGTCTAAAGGACTTGCTGTGGATACTGGAAACCAAAAGTGACAGGTTCTGTTCAGAAGAAAGCCAAGCTCAGCGTTCAAACAGCTGGGAAAGCACCACCTTTAGCTGCCCAACAAATCATCTAATACGATTTTGGAAGCAGTTGCACAAAACCCAGGTTCTTTATCAAGCAGCAATGTGCTTGCCCAAGACAAACAGCCTCTACCTTGAAAATAAGGGTCGCTCTGAAGAGCACAGGGGGGTTTGTGTGTGGAGTGTCAGCTTCACATCACTCACCCTTGGCTGGGCCTCAGCACTTCTGAGCTGCCTCAAACTCTAAACATTGTGCAGCCAGGACTACACTAGGCAGGCTGAATTTATGGTTGAATAAATTATAAATGTTGCTAAAATTGCCCACTGGCATAGCAGGAGGAATATTTCCTAACATGATCAGGACAGTTTACATAACCTGGAAAGGAAGATTTTGACTTTTACAGAGAGTAACTGGATTCCATCTCCTCCCTACACACAAATCTCAGCATATCCACTCTCCCAAGTCCTGCTTTGCCCTGAATGGTGCATTCAGTTTATTTTTAGCCTCCATCCAGGCAGTTTTCAAGCTCCATGTGTTGCCCTGCCCTGTTTCCCTGAGCACCTGACTGAAATCTGGACACACTTCCGAATCCTCAAGCTCACCAGGAGCAATTCAGACTTGAGACAGCAAATATCTGCTCCACACAGATATCTGCAACACCACAGTACCAAGAAGGTGTCTGGCCTCCTATCCTGTACCATCCCAGTCCCCCAGATGTCATGACACTTGCTGTTGTCTGCACTGAAAGGACCATTTCAGCCTTTCAGTGCTCCATTTCAGTATTGTGCTTTCATAGCCACCAAAAGAAAAGATCTGGAAGTGCTCTGAATGCTGGATTGGGACCTAACCTGAAACTGGATTGCACCTGCACTGTCTGCACAACACTAAGTTAATACTAAGAGTCAGGAAAGTTTTAAAATATCACCACAGACCACTTGTCTTCCACAGAGAAGAGTGTGATTTGTCCTGCACACTCCTAATGGACCTACATAGAATCACGGAATTATTTGGGTTGGAAGGGTCCTTAAATATCATTTAGATGCAACCCCCCTGCATGAGCAGGGACACCTCCCACCACACCAGGCTGCTCCAAGCCCCATCCAACCTGCCCTTCAACACTGCCAGGGATGGGGCAGCCACAGCTTCTCTGGGCAGCCTGGGCCCAGGGTCTCACCACCCTCATAGGGAAGAATTTCTTCTCATGTCCAACCTCAATCTCCCCTCTTCCAGTTTTAAACTATTCCCCTTTGTCTCACCCCTTCCTGCCCTTGTCCCTCCCCAGCTTTCCTGGAGCCCCTTCAGGCACTGGAAGGTGCTCTAAGGTCTCCCTGGAGCCTTCTCTTCTCCATGCTGAACACTCCAACTCTCCCAGCCTGTCTCCAGAGCAGAGCTGCTCCAGCCCTTGGATCATCTCCGTGGCCTCCTCTGGACTCTCTCCATGAGCTCCATGTCCTTCTTATACTGGGGACTCCAGAACTGGACACAGTTCTCCAGGTGGGATCTCATGAGAGCTGAGTAAATGGAGAGAATCACCTCCCGTACTCAAGTTGCCACGTTCTTTGAGTGAGTTCTCAGATGTGCACCCAGCCCCACACAAATACCAGAGTGGCTGCTGCAGGTTCACCCCTAAAGTCCACTCAGCCTTGGAAATTCTGATCAAATTTCTTCAGCGATCTCCATGGATAAACACAACAAATCACAAGACAGCACAAGCTTACAACACTCAGGGAGTTTCTAAATGATTTGTGCTCTACCTCCTCCAGAAAACGGATACAGTCACATTTAAATTCTGACTGGATTCTTCTCAGAGCAGGCCTTAAAAGAAGACAGCATCAACATTGTTATTTTATGCCAAGCCTACTTGTTTTCCTTAAATTCCCTCACTGTGAAGACTTCCATGATGGCAAAAGGTAGGACAGTTTGTTGGAGTCCTGATTCCAAATGCTACAGCCAGGTCTCACTGCACAACTGAAATAAGATGCTCCATCCTGTCACCACCACACTGAGATATCAAGGACAGCATCTCATCTGTTCCACAAGAAGAAGGAGCAAAACCTCCATTTTAACCATTCTTCACCTCTCACCAGAAACTAAAGAGATTTATCCAGCAGAATATGAGTGGCAGGATCACCATGATCTTCAGCTCTGAAGAAAAAACCTTTGTCTCTGAAATCCTTCTGGGTGAAGGTAAGAAGGAAAGGATTATACCTGCTTGCTGAACCAGCCTTGGTATTGCTACACAGCCAGGTATTGGGTTGTTCTTTTTAAAAATCTGAGTACCTTTGAGCATTCTTAAACTGTTATGTTGGAAAACCTGAATTTCCTAACAATGTAAAGTACCCCAGTGATACGTAATCACATCCATGAGGGTTAGGCTGCCTTAGACAGGCTCCACTGAAGCCCACATCCATCCAGGCAAAGCTGGGAGCAGAGCAGGGCCTGGGGCAGTTCCTCTAACTGTTGGATCTCTTCGGAGCTGATGAAATGGATCCCTTTGATACACGGTGCCAACATGAAATGGAAAGGCTTTTTGACCTGGGCTAATCCTTTCAGCAAACACACACCAGGATGGAGATCATTTCACATGACTGAAGACACTAGAGGTTCTTCTCTGGCCAACTGCAACCTTTCCTTCCTGCAGCAGAGCAGCACCCACTGCTGCAGGGTTTACCTGCTCTGCCTGCACCTGGGTTTCCCGCATCTTAGGGATTCCATTAGATCTTAGTACACCTGGACGAGCCTGTCCAACTTCCAGAGGAAGTGCCAAAGCACGGGTGATGATCTGGAGTTGATGGACACCATCGAGAGCAGGTTGGGTCCCCACCGCCCTCAATCGCTGCTGCTGCTGCCGCTGCATCCGCTTGCTTCAC